GGCTTGTGCTCACACGAAGTGGGACTAGAGCTCACCTGATGTGGGAATCAAACTCATGAACTCCGAGATCGTGACCTGAGCCAAAAGTCAGATGTGTGACCATTAAGCCACACAGGTGTCCCAGTTTTGACTGTTTTTAATTGTATTTTGAGTTTATTGGAGTGTTTTTGTGGAAATGGTGGAGACTAGTTTTGTGAGATTGCTGGTCATACGTTTGAGCTCTTGGTGCAGATACAATCTTCAGCATTCATTATGTGAGGGTTTCAGAAGTGGGTTGCATTGAAGTGGAGACTTTTCTAATGGCTGGGATGCCTACGTCTATCAAACATTATGTCTCTGCTTTAGACTGCTAGATAAACAACTGGATGTTTCTTATTCTCACACTTCCCTCTTATAATATTCATTCAATATATATTTAATAAGCATCTGCCATCTGCTAAGTGCAGTGCTTGGTGTTACAGATATAATGATAAACAAATGGAGACACCGAGAGTTCACATACTGGTGGGGTTGTTGAAGATACAACCAGGCAATTGCTTAGAGTTTAGTCCCTCTGGGAACGCTTAACACCAGCCTGGAAGATTAGGGAGGGTTTCCCAGAGGAGATGACACATATACTGAGATCTGAAGGATGATAAGTTACAAGTAATCCTCCTGAGAAGGTCAAAGAAAATATTCTAGTTAGAGGACATAGAAGAAGAGCATGGCATGTTTGAGCAACCATGGAGCATTGAGCATGAAAGACAGGAGATAAAGCTGAAAATAGAGGGAACTTCTTAGTGTCTTAACTGGGCACAGGATTCTGCTCTTAAGGTGTTTGGAAATGGAGGATGAATTTTGAGTTCGTATAATAGCTGAGAAGTCCTAAGATCAATTTTTAGATAAAAGTCTTAGTTGATGTGGCTGAACAATAGGATTTTGCTTTTCTCTGTATAAAATAAGCAAAGAAAATTCCTGTGAGGATTTTGGATACAGTTCCAAGAGGGGGAAAAGGTGGGAAACTGGAATTAAATAACCACGTTATTGCAGTGGTAATCCACAAAAGCACTAGATTTTTATTTATTTTTTTAAGTACTATGCCCAACGTGGAGCTTGAATCCAGAATCCCAAGATCAAGAGTTGCACCCCAGCACTAGATATTTTAAAAGGCAATTCTTTTTAATTTCAAGGAAATTTGATAACAAGCACCTTATTGTTTAAACCAAATTGACACCCTCATCATTTCCCATCTCTTTAAAGATAAGAAATTAGCATTGTTTTTTTAAATTTTTTTTAATGTTTTATTTTATTTTTGAAAGAGAGACAGAGCACAAGTGGGGGAGGGGTACAGAGGGAGACACAGAATCTGAAGCAGGCTCCAGGCTCCGAGCTGTCAGCAAGAGCCCGACGCGGGGCTCAAACTCACGAACCGTGAAATCATGGCCCTGAGCTGAAGTCAGACACTCAACTGACTGAGCCACCCAAGTGGCCCAAGCATTGTTTTTTAATGAGTTGCATCTTTATTATTTATTTTGTCTTTATTTTTTTATATTTAGTCAGTCAGAAGATAATATTAGAAGCAGTAAAGAACTGCAGGGGTTTTTTTTTCATGTTTATTTTTGAGAGAGCACGCATGTGAGTGGAGGAAGGGCAGAGAGAGAGGAAGACAGAGGATCTGAAGGAGGTTCTGTGCTGTCAACCCAGAGCCTAGTGTGGGGCTTGAAATCATGAACCCTGAGATCATGACCTGAGCCAAAGTCAGATGCTTAACTGACTGAGCCACCCAGGTTCCCTAGGAACAGAAGTTTTTTTTTTTTAATTTTTTTTTCAACGTTTATTTATTTTTGGGACAGAGAGAGACAGAGCATGAATGGGGGAGGGGCAGAGAGAGAGGGAGACACAGAATCGGAAACAGGCTCCAGGCTCTGAGCCATCAGCCCAGAGCCTGACGCGGGGCTCGAACTCACGGACCGCGAGATCGTGACCTGGCTGAAGTCGGACGCTTAACCGACTGCGCCACCCAGGCGCCCCTCTCTGCCCATTTTTTAATTGGAATGCTTGTTTGTTTGCTATGAAGGTGTATGAATCCTTTATATATTTTGGATAGTAGCCTCTTATCAGATATATTATTTGCAAATATTTTTTCCCATTCACTGGGTTGCCTTTTCATTTTGTTAATGATTTCCTTTGCTGCACAGAAACTTTTTAATTTGATGCAGTCCCACTTGTTTATTTTTGCTTTTGCTGCTTTTGCTTTTAGTGTCAGATTTAAAAAATAATCACCAAGGGGCACCTGGCTGGCTCAGTCAGTAGAGCATGTGACTCTTGATCTTAGGGTTGTGAGTTCAACCCCCCATTGGGCATGGAGCCTACCTAAAAAACATCATCACCAAGACCAATGCCCAGCAGCTTACTGCCTATGTTTTCTTCTAGGAGTTTTATGGTTTCAGGTCTTAAATTCAAGTCTTTAATCCATTTTGAGTTTAATTATTTGTATGGTGTCAGACAGTGTTCCAGTTTCATTCTTTTGCATGTGACTGTCCAGTTTTCCCAACATCCTTTATTGAAGAGATTGTCCTTCCTCATCATATATTCTTGGCTCCTGTGTCATCAATTAATGGACCATGTATATGTGGATTTACTTCTGGGCTGTCTATTCTGTTCCATTGATATATGTGTCTGATTTTATGCTAATACCATACTGTTTTAACTACTGTAGCTTTATAATATAGTTTGAAATCAGGGTGCATGAAGTCTCTATCTAGCTTTGTTCTTCTGTCAAGATTGCTCTGGCTACTCAGCGTCTTTATGGTTCCATAGAACTTTTAGGATTCTTTGGTCTATTTCTGTGAAAAAATGCCATTAGAATTTTTATAGTGACTGCATTGAATCTGTATATTTATTTGGGTAGTATGGACCTTTAAAAATATTCTTCAAAGGGGCGCCTGGGTGGCGCAGTCGGTTAAGCGTCCGACTTCAGCCAGGTCACGATCTCGCGGTCTGTGAGTTCGAGCCCCGCGTCAGGCTCTGGGCTGATGGCTCAGAGCCTGGAGCCTGTTTCCGATTCTGTGTCTCCCTCTCTCTCTGCCCCTCCCCCGTTCATGCTCTGTCTCTCTCTGTCCCAAAAATAAAAAAAAATAAAAACGTTAAAAAAAAAAAAAAAAAAATATTCTTCAAATACGTGAGCATGAATATCTTCTAATGTATTTGTGTCTTCTATTTCTTTCATTAATGTCTTATAGTTTTGAATATACAGGTCTTTCACCTCCTTAGTTAAATTTATTCCTAGGTATTTTATTCTTTTTGATACAGTTGTAAATGGGATTGTTTTCTTAATTTCTTTCTGATAGTTCATTACTAGTGTATAAACATGCAACATGTTTTTGTATTGATTGTAGTGATTTTGTATTCTATATATTTACTGAATTTATTTATTAGTTCTAGCAGTTTTTTGATGAAGTTTTTACTATTTGGGGGAGTTTTTGAGAGAGAGAGAGAGAGAGGCATATGAAGAGGGAGAGAGAGAATCTTAAGCAGGCTCCACACCCAGCACAGAGCTCAACGCAGGGCTCAGTCTCACGGCCCTGGGATCATGACCTGAACCAAAATCAAGAGTGGGACGCTTAACCAACTAAGCCACCCAGGTGCCCCTTTAGTGTTTTTTATGTACAGTATCATGTCATCTGCAAATAGTAACAGTTTGACAGTTTTACTTTCCTTTCCAATTTGGATGCCTTTTATTTATTTATTTTTCCTTGCCTGATTACTTCAGCAAGAACTTTCAGTACTATGTTGAGGAAAAATGACGAGTCAGCATCTTTGCCTTTGCCTGATCTTAGAAGAAAAGCTTTCAACATTTCACATTTGAGTATGGTTTTAGCTGTGGACTTGTCATATATGGCCTTTATTATGTTGAGGCTCCCTCTATACCCACTGTGTTGAGTTTTTATCATAAATGGATGTTGAATTTAGCCAAATGGTTTTTCTGCATCCGCCAAGATGATTGATGATTGTTATCCTTCATTTTGTTAATGTGGTGTATCACATTATCTAATTTGCAGATGTTGAACCATCCTTGCATCCCTGGAATAAATCCCACTTGATCAATGTATATGATCCTTTTAATGTATTATTGAATTTCATTTGTGTCTTTATATGCTGTTGGCTTTCATCAATGGCTACTGTACTGAGAGTTGCCCAAGTCACACACGAGAAATCTTTTAGAATCGAGTGTTACTGAAAAAGCTTTGTTTCTTCTGAAATAGTTGATATACTTGTTCCTCTATGGTAATATAAATTATGTAGCTGATCATATTTTCCTGCCTTTAAAAAGAACTTTTGGGCACCTGGCTGGCTTAGTCAGTAGAGTACGTGACTCTTGATCTCAGTGTTGTAAATTTGAGCCCCGTGTTGGGTGTAGAGATTACTTAAAAATACAATCTTAAAAATAATTGCCAAAGAGAAAGAAGTTCAGGGCCAAATTTTGAAGAGTTGTTAGAGCAACTGTAGATCAACTATATTGACCTTTCTGGCTTATTTTTAACTCTTCTATTTAAAGTTTATATTTTGGGGCGCCTGGGTGGCTCAGTCGGTTAAGTAGCTGACTTTGGCTCAGGTCATGATCTCACACACTGTGAGTTCGAGCCCCGCGTCAGGCTCTGTGCTGACAGCTCAGAGCCTGGAGCCTGTTTCAGATTCTGTGTCTCCCTCTTTCTGACCCTCCCTCATTCATGCTCTGTCTCTCTCTGTCTCAAAAATAAATAAACGGTAAAAAAAAAATTTAAAAAAAAAGTTTATATTTTTGTTGTATATGCTTTTTGTTAAAAATCTCCTCATAATCTTTATGGAAAGAAGCAAGACATAATTTACAAACAAACTGGAGACTTACTATGAGAATTTGGTTTGATTCAACCAGACTAACCACATGAATAATAATTATTATATATAATTTTACATTAGTTCTGGATAAAATACCTTTTATGTTGCTTCTTATTTTGTACATTTTTAATGTTTTCTTTCAGAGTGGGTTCCACCTCAACCAGAATATTTCTATCAACCTACAGGAAATGAAAAGTTACCAGAAATTGTAGGAGAAGAAAAAGGCACAGTTGTCTTTCAATTAGATTCAGGTATTGTTATTACACTGAACAGTCAGTGATAATCATGACAATATTGTAATAAACATATTTTCTATAATAACAGTTATTTTTAACAAACTATAGTTTAGTGATTAATAAACTGTCCTTCCAGACCAGCCTGAATAGGAGCCATGATATTAATGGCTAATCAGATTTAAAATTTCAGTTGTTTTTTGGGGTGCCTGGGTGGCTCAGTAGGTTGAGCGACTGACTTCGGCTCAGGTCATGATCTCACGGTTTGTGAGTTTGAGCCCTGCATCGGGGGCTGTGCTGACAGCTCGGAGCCTGGAGCGTGCTTCAGATTCTGTGTCTCCCTCTCTCTCTGCCCCTCCCCCACTCATGCTCTGTCTGTCTCAGAAATAAATAAACATTTAAAAAAATATTAAAAATAAATAAATAATAAAATAAAATTTCAGTTGTTTTTTAAAATGACAGTACCTTTTTCTTAATAGTTCTAAGCCCATTTTAGAGGTTCTTCTGTATTGGGGAGCCTGGGTGGCTTAGTTGGTTGAGCTTCCAACTTCAGCTCAGGTCATGACCTCACAGTCTATGAGTTTAAGCCCCACGTCGGGCTCTGTGCTGACAGCTTGGATCCTGGAGCCTGCTTCAGATTCTGTGTCTTCCTCTTTCTCTGCCCCTCCCCCACTCATGCTCTGTCTTTTTCTGTCTCAGAAATAAATAAACATTAAAAAAATAAATTTAAAGGTTCTCCTGTGTCACTCCACTTCCTAGAAATCAGATATTGGATATTCGGGGGAACTTGCTCTTCTTTTCTCCATCTCTGTGTTTTAGTGAGTTCTTTGTAGTATGTGCATATAACTCTCATTTACCATGTGGTTTAATTGATTTCCATTAATTTGCAGCCTTCCTATAGGTAGAATCCATCTCTCTCTTTTAATGTTTATTTTATTTTGAGAGAGAGAAAGCGCAATTGCGAGCAAGGGAAGGGCAGAGAGGGAGAGAGAGAATTCCAAGCAAGCTGTACACTCAGCACGGTGCCTGACATGGGGCTCAATCCCACAACCATGAGGTCATGACCTGAGCTAAAATCAAGAGTCAGACACTTAACCAACTGAGCCACCCAGGGGCTCCTAGAAAATATTTTTAGGGGCACCTGGCTCAGTTGGTTAAGCATCTGACTGTTGATCTCAGCACAGGTCTTGATCTTGGGATCGTGAGTTCACACCCTGTGTTGGACTCCTTGCTGGGCATGGAGCCTACTTAAAAAAGAAAAAAAAGAATGAAATTTGGGAAATATACAAATACTCAGAAATTAAATCGCATATATATATATTTTTTAACAGTTGTTTATTTTTGATAGAGAGAGACAGAGTGTGAGCAGGGGAGGGGCAGAGAAAGATGGAGACACAGAACCTGAAGCAGGCTCCAGGCTCTGAGCTATCAGCACAGAGCCCCATGTGGGGCTCAAACTCATGGACTGCGAGATCATGACCTGAGCTGAAGTCAGATGCTCAACTGACTGAGCCACCCTGGTGCCCCTAAGCAGCACATTTCTAAGTAACCCATGAATTAAAGAAATCATAAGAGATGAATATTTTGAGCTGAGTAAAAATAAAACAACATATCAAAATTTATGGGATACAGTTAAAGTACTGCAAGGTAAACCTATGGCTTCAAATGCCTATATTTGAAAGGAAGAAAGAGCTCCAATTAATTACCTAAGCTTTCATATTAGTAAATTTGAATAATAAGCACAAACTAAGTCCAAAGCAACCAGAAGGAACGATATAATAAAGATAAGGATGGAAATCAGTGAAACAGAAAATAGGAAAACAATGTGGAAAATCAAGCAAAAGTTGGTTCTTTGGAAACCTCAACAAAACTGACAAAACTTTAGCTAGACCAACCATGAAAAAAGAGGAAGGAAACACACACAAAAAAAGAATTACAAATTACAACTTATTGCCAAAAAATTAAACAACATAGATGAATAGGAAAAATTGTTAGACACAACTGACTCAGGAAGAAATTTTAAAAATCTGAATAGATGAAAACAAAGAAATTGAGTTAGTAATTAAAAATCTTTGTGCAAAGAAATTCCTTGCCCAGATGGCTTGACAGGGTTTGTTTGAATTATATCAAACATTTAAAGGTGAAATAGTACTAGTCCTTCATCAGCTCTGAAAACAGTAACAGGAGGAAACATTTCTAACTATTTGTGAAGCCAATATTCAAAGTTAGACAAAGACATCACAGAAAAGCCATATTCCTTAAGAATATAAATGCAATGTTTTGATGATTTTTTTTCTATCCAGGTTCATAACTGTGAAGACTTAGATAATAAGTATTTAAAAAAATTTTTTTAACGTTTATTTATTTTTTTTTTGGGACAGAGAGAGACAGAGCATGAACGGGGGAGGGGCAGAGAGAGAGGGAGACACAGAATCGGAAACAGGCTCCAGGCTCTGAGCCATCCGCCCAGAGCCTGACGTGGGGCTCGAACTCAAGGACCGCGAGATCGTGACCTGGCTGAAGTCGGACGCTTAACCGACTGCGCCACCCAGGCGCCCCGATAATAAGTATTTTAAAAATGAGGACCTCTAAAAAAAATAAATAAGTAAATAAAAATAAATAAGTAAAATCAGGATCCCTAATAATCATCTTTAGGGCAGAAATGTTTCCTTGCTGATGGAGGCTAAGGACATTTTACTCTTTTCGTTGTCAGCGCAATGATTGCAGGTTGCCTTCAAAATCTTGATAATTCACTGTGGCTCCTAACGTTCTAGAATCATAGAGGTGGAAGGCACACCGTGTTCTCTCCTTCCCTCTCCACCTTCCTTCCACAATACTGGGCTCCACTATGTGTATCAGTAGCAAACATTTATTAAGCAGTTACTATGCACTGCTATTTTTTCTGCATGCAGTCTTAAAAATCTCTTATCTTGTAAATGAGAGATGAGGTAAAATCAGGAAAAGAAGAGGTAAAGAAAAAGATTTTTAAATAAAGAAAATAATCTATTGCTTAAAAAAAAAGAATATAAATGCAAAAATCCTCAACCAAATATCAGTAAACCAATTCCAACAGCATATTAAAGGATTATACAGCATGACCAGGGAGGATTTGTTCCAGGAATGCAAGGATGGTTCAGGCTAAAAACCATACACCAATGTGGCACACCACATTAGAACAAAGGGAAGAACACGATCCTCTCAAGTGATGCAGAAAAAGCATACGAACATTCAAAAAACTAGGAATAGAAGAAAATTCCTCTGCTTGAAAAAGGTTATGGAAAGGATGAATCAACTTCACACTCACTAAAATAGCTATAATAAAGGCAATAACAGGTGATGGGTAGGATGTGAAGCAGGTTGTAATAGAAACATTTAAGACAGAAAGGACATAAGGGCACCTGGCTAGTTCAGTTGGTAAAGCATGCTAGATCATGCGACTCTTGATCTCAGGGTTATGAATTCAAGCCCACATTAGGGCTAGAGTTTACTTAAAAAAAGAAAAAGAAAGGAGATATAATGTTCAAGAGCAATGAGTCAAGAAAAGTTAATAGGAACCCTCCCAAGGATGAGGAATTAATTTTTAAATTCATAATCTCAGAATGTGAAGTTAGTTATAGGGAGGGACATGGCGAGCTAGAGAAGCTTTCAATAAGGGCATCCTTCGTCATCACCAAAAATCATCTGATGCTTATTGTATATATAGGTACCAGAGTTAATTAGAAGTTTATTTATTTTGAGAGAGAGATAGACCACGAGCAGGGGAGGGGCAGAGAGAGAGGAAGAGAGAATTGCAAGCAGGCTCTGCACTGCCAGCATGGAGCTCAATGTGGGGCTCAAACCCACGAATCATGAGATCATGACCTGAGCCGAAGTCAGACACTTAACCGACTGAGTCACCCAGGTGCCCCTAGAACTTTTTAAAAGGGGTTATCTGAGATTGGGAAATGCTGTATTCAAGAAATAGCAAGAAAAATATTCTCACAATTTGAAAATCAGTATTTGCTATACAGTAATGATCAGAAAGGAAATCAATTTTATTGGAGGAGGAATATGTACCAAGTTTAGTTAGTAGAAATAAAATGTGTTAAGTCAATGAAATCAGGGTAGGCTTCTAGAGAAACAACCAGAACTAGGAGGGAGGGACCGCAGTGTTCACATTTCCATAACTGGAAAAATGAAATGAACCGATTCTAGCAGGTGGCCTAACTTCGAAGTAATTTCATATGCTCTGCTCCCAGTTGCCTTGATTATGAGTGCTTGTGTCAGTAATACTGTGTTGGGAAAAGCTACATGTGGGGAAGTGAGTGAGGTGAAGCAACTTACAGTCTCCCTAGCTCCACCTACGGAGAGTCTGAGAAGGAGTTTGGGAGACATTAAAGTATAAGGTCTTAAGTGGATAGACTTCAGTCATAAATAATGGAGGATGTACTGCTCCTGGAACCTCAAGAAAGTATTGGGCTTTTTTTTTTTTTTTTTTTTTTTTTTTTTTTAAGATTTCATTTCTAAGTGGGGAGCCTGGGTGGCTCAGTTGGTTAAGTGTCCGACGTCAGCTCAGGTCATGATTTCACAGTTTGTGAGTTCCAGCCCTGTGTCGGACTCTGTGCTGACAACTCAGAGCCTGGAGCCTCTTCAGATTCTGTCTCTGTTTCTCTCTGCCCCTCCCCCTGCTCATGCACTCTCTCACTCTTGCCCTCAAATATAAATAAACATTAAAAAAAAGAAAAAAAGGATTTCATTTTTAAGTAATGTCTATACCCAAAGTGGGGCTTGAACTTCACAACCCTGAGAACAAGAGTTGCATGTTCAACCAACTGAGCCTGCCAGGTGCCCCAAAAGTCTTGGGTACTAGAAGTCTATTTTACCTCTTGTTGACCTGGTGGTAGTCATTTTCAACAAACTCCTTGACCTTGAATTCAATTGCTTTACCTGTTCTATTCAGAGATGTTTTCTGCCTACGAGCAGCCCCTAGGGCTGAGAGCTCACTCTCCTGAGGGCAACTTTTGTGAATTTTCCTTATTGTCCTGTTAAAGCGCAGTTGTGGCAGTGGTCTTGATCTTGTCCTTTGGATTCACCAAGGAGAATTGAGCCCACCCTGTTGGAGGAATGAAGAAACAGAAAATGGAGAAGATGGGACTCCAGGGAAAATTTGGGAGTTTGTCGGTTTACCTGCTATGAGAATAATGGGGAGAAACAAGGAAAGAGGTTTTATTTTTGAGAAATGTTACTGTGGACTATGAATTGGATCATCTTTAATGTTTTTACCTGAGAGACTCAAAAAAATGTCGAAATTCCTGTATTAATTACATCTGGTTGCTGGTCTATAACTTTGTGCTTCCATGAAGAGACTGAACCACGTAGGTCCCCAGCTTTTAGTTGCTTTACGTGACTCTGCTCCTGCCTCCTCTGTGCTTGTTTTCTTCTTTTACTCGCTTCTTTATATGCTTGCTTTTCTCTTTTGCTCTCATTTATTATCCAAATATTTATTATCTAAGTCTCCACAACGACAGAGTTGCCTATTGAAACAAAAGCTGTCGTAACATGAACAGATTTACTAATAAATTAGACTTATATAATCAGTCCCCACATGTCAGCATATTACTGTTTAATGCTCCTATCTGCCCAGCCCTGTGGTCAGCGTCTTTGTTAATATCAGTCACTTGCCAATTGGTGGATACTGTTAATATGTGACAATATAATGCAAGTACAGTAAAAATCAGCTGCAAAGTGAAATTATCCTTACAAGAGATGCAGGATTTTATGAAGCTGATGGATGTTAAGGAATTGTTTGAATCACTTGCAAAGCCACTGACAAATGAGAATCTAGACATTTTTTTTAGCAGTTAACAACAGTTGAAGAGAAAATGAACAAAAGATGACAAAATAGGCTCTTCTAGACATAATGATAAGAATATGGTGGTACAAAGTCTTTGGGAAAACTACAAAGTTTTACAAATAGTTTTGAAATAGTTTTGCAAAAGAAACTAAAAATCAAAGATGTCAGATGGCAGTCTTACTGAATTTGTCTGAAAAGTTGCAACCCCACTTTTTTTTCTTTTTTTTTTTAATGTTTATTTTTGAGTGGGGGAGGGGCAGAGAGAGAGGGAGACACAAAATCCAAAACAGGCTCCAGTCTGAGCTGTCAGCAGAGGCAGGGACTTGAACTCTGAGCCATTAGTCACAAACCACAAACCAAGTTAGATGCTCAACTGACTGAGCCACACAGGCGCCCCTCAACCCCACTTTCTAAAACAAATTAACAATTGATTATTGCAAGGATTAGAAAGAGATGATTATAATCTAAATTTTGTTAAATAAAATAAATTATATATATATATATATATATATATATATATATATATTTGTTGTTTGTTTTAGCATCATTTTAAAGATAAAATTTCAATCATAACATTTTCACTATAATTACTATAGATATTTTGGTTCCCTTCTTAGGCTAATTCACCCATGCCAATTCTTCTCAAACTTCTATTATTTTTTTATATTTAAATCTGGAAGGATATACCAAAAAAATTATATGAAGTATACTTTCTTTCTTTGTTTTTCTCCATTATCTTTTTTGTAATGTTTATTTTTTATTTTTGAGACAGAGAGAGAATGGGAGAGGGGCAGAGAGAGAGGGAGACACAGAATCTGAAGCAGGCTCCAGGCTCTGGGCTGTCAGGATAGAGCCCGATACAGGGCTTGAACTCCTCCCAAACTGCAAGATCCTGACCTGAGCAGAAGTCGGAAGCTTAACTGACTGAGCCACACAGATGCCCCTCTATTATTATTATTATTATTTTTTTTTTTTTTAATTAATAGATGCTCAGTTGGTTGGGCGTCTGATTCTTGGTTTCGGGTCAGGTCATGATCTCACAGTTTCATGGGTTCAAGCCCTGTATAGGGCTCTTCACTGGCAGTGCAAAACTTGCTTGGGATTCTCTCTCTCCCTCTCTCTGTCCCTCCCCTGCTTGTGCTGTCACTGTCTCTCTCAATATAAGTAAATAAATTTTTTTAAAAGTTAAAAAATAATAGATGCTATTTTTTTAGAATAAAGATTGTAAATGTTTTCAGATGCTCTATGTAGAATCTCATTTGTTTGTCAACATCCTTTCAGATTAGGGCTTATGTGGGTACAAACAGTATCTGAGATGCCAGGGGCAGCCGTGCAGCAAAAGGAGGTGCTCTACACCACTTTAAAGGTCTTCAAAGAAATACAATGTTTAAAATTAAAGGTCTCAGCAAGGACCCTTGAAAATCTGAATATTCATTATCGTTAACCTAAAATGGCGATAAACACACAGAGGAGCTCTGTGAATATTGGCTGGATGAATAGATTCTTAGTGGAACCTGCTCTAAATAGGTCTGTCTTCTCTGCAGTGCCCACCGAAGGTTCCTATTTCACTAGTTCCAGAGTGGGAGGCAAGCGAGGGATCATCAAGGAGCTTGCTGTTACGCTTCAAGGACCTGAGGACAAGACTCTCCTGTTTGAGTCAAGGTTTGAGAGCGGGAATCTGCAAAAAGCTGTCAGAGTGTGAGTAACAGGAATTTCCCAAAGGGGTGATCGCTGGAGGGACTGACTCACATCTTCAGGAGTCATATTAGGAGTTAGGGGTGTTTTTGGAAAAGAGAGAAGTGGTGAGAAATGGTATGAGGACGAAGAAAAATTGAATAATTGTGACTCATATTCCCTCAGGGTAAAAATTTATCTACATTTTTTTTTCTGCTTATGAAAGAAATTAGTATTAATTTAATTTGTATTAATAGGGGTGCCTCGTTGGCTCAATCAGAAGAGCATAATCTCAGGGTCGTGAGTTCAAGCTCTGTTTTGGGTGTAGAGTTTACTTAAGTAAAACTCAAGAAGAAATCTGTATTAACAAAAATACATAACATAAAAAATTGAAGTTCTGTAATCGTACCTCTCAGATGCAGAAACTGTTAACAGTTTGGTATACATGCAGTAATTTTCCCCCTTTTACTGTGTATGTATAATATACAGAAATTATTTTGTTTTTAAAAATAGGATGATGGTATACATACCGTTTTGCAAATTGCTTTTTTCCACATAATAAGCTTTATATTTTTCCTATGGCAATACTGCAGATTTATCTCATTATTTTTTTAATTTTATTTTTAATTTTTTTTAATTTACATCCAAATTAGTTAGCATATAGTGAAACAATGATTTCAGGAGTAGATTCCTTAATGCCCCTTACCCATTTAGCCCATCTCCCCTCCTACAACCCCTCCAGTAACCCTCAGTTTGTTCTCCATATTTATGAGTCTCTTCTGTTTTGTCCCCCTCCCTGTTTTTATATTATTTTTGTTTCCCTTCCCTTATGTTCATCTGTTTTGTCTCAGTCTTCATATGAGTGAAGTCATATGATTTGCGTCTTTCTCTGACTAATTTAACTTAGCATAATACCCTCCAGTTCCATCCACATAGTTGCAAATGGCAAGATTTCATTCTTTTTGATTGCTGAGTGATACTCCATTGTATATATATACCACATCTTCTTTATCCATTCATCCATTGATGGACATTTGGGCTCTTTCCATACTTTGGCTATTGTTGATAGTGCTGCTATAAACATGGGGGTACATGTGTCCCTTCAAAACACACGCCTGTATCCCGTGGATAAATACCTAGTAGTGCAATTGCTGGGTCGTAGGGTAGTTTTATTTTTAATTTTTTGAGGAACCTCCATACTGTTTTCCAGAGTGGCTGCACCAGCTTGCATTCCCATATCTCCTTATTTTTAATAATTCATATTATTCTATTGTATGGATGTTCCATATCATGTGTAACCTGTGCCCAGCTGATAGGAAATGAAGGTATTTACTGTTTTTGTTTAATGAATTAACAGAATTAATACTCTTGGGCACTTTTTAAATTATATATTTTTTTAATTAATTTTTAAGTTTACATCCTAGTTAGTTAGCATATAGTGCAACAGTGATTTCAGAAGTAGATTCCAGTGATTCATCCCCTACATATAACACCCAGTGCTCATCCCAACAAGTGTCTTCCTTAAAGCCCCTTACCCATTTAGCCCATCCCCCCTCCCACAACCCCTCCAGCAACCCTCAGTTTATTCTCTATATTTAAGAGTCTCTTAATGGTTTTTCCCTCTCCCTGTTTTTATATTATTTTTGCTTCCCTCCCCTTAGGTTCATCTGTTTTGTATCTTAAATTCCTCATATGAATGAAGTCATATGATATTTGTCTTTCTCTGACTAATTTCGCTTAGCATAATACCTCTAGTTTCATCCATGTAGTTGCAAAGACATTTATATTTTTAAATATTTGTGATGTTATGGGATACATTCTAGAAATATAATTGGGGGGCCAAAGGGTTTGAACACTTTAAGTATTGCTGTTTTTTGCCAAATTACCCTCCAACATGATTTCAGTTCCCATCACCGGTGTATGAAAGCGACTGTTTCCCAAAGCTGGAATATGCATGAAATGGAGGGAGAATGACTTCCTATTTTAATTTGCCTTTCTTGCATTATGCCTGTGTGGGAGCATCTTTTCAGGATTTAGTATTTGTATTTCCTCTTCTACTTTTCAGTAAGGTGAATGCATTCCAGAGATGCCCCCTCATCTTCAAACAGTTGACAATCAGAGCTAAAATAACACCTGAGGCTGACAGTTCTCCTCCATAGTGGTCATGTCCAGAAGGCAGCTTACAGCCAACAGAGGGCTCTGGCTTCGCTGCCTTTAGGTGTGGTTCTAGAAATGTGTTGAAGTGGTTGGGAACTGCTACTGAACACTCCAGAACGATACTAAAAAACTCACAGAGCTCCCAAATACCCCAAATAAACTTGGTTGACCCATATTTCTTTCAGCCTAATGTATGAGTTGAGGAACTAGGTACACTAGAAAATTAATGTTTGAGGTAGCAGGCTTTCCTGTTGAAATAAGATCTATTTTTGCCCAGGTAAAACATTTTTTAAGCTTTGTTTTTTGAGGGTTGATGTGGTGTTACAGAGATATTCTTCTATTTTCTCCACTACAGAGATACCTATGAGTATGAGCTCACCTTGCGAACTGATCTCTACACAAACAAACACACTCAGTGGTTTTATTTTCGAGTGCAGAACACTAGAAAAGATGCCACCTACCGCTTCACCATTGTCAACTTGCTAAAACCCAAGAGCCTTTATACTATAGGGATGAAGCCACTCATGTACTCCCAGTTGGATGCCAAGACCCACAACATTGGCTGGAGAAGAGAAGGAAATGAAATCAGGTACTATAAGAACAACAGGGACGATGGGCAGCAGGCCTTTTACTGTCTCACGTGGACCATTCAGTTCCCACACGACCAGGACACTTGCTTCTTCGCACACTTCTATCCATATACGTACACTGACTTGCAGTGCTACCTGCTGTCAGTGGCAAACAACCCTGTCCAGTCTCAGTTCTGCAAACTCCGAACTTTATGCAGGAGCCTTGCAGGAAATACCGTCTACCTGCTCACCATCACCAACCCATCCCGGACCCCTCAAGAGGCAGCTGCAAAGAAAGCTGTGGTCTTGAGTGCCAGAGTCCACCCCGGAGAAAGTAACGGCTCCTGGATCATGAAAGGCTTTTTGGACTTCATCCTGAGCAACTCTCCAGATGCCCAGCTCCTCAGAGATATCTTTGTCTTCAAAGTGGTTCCTATGTTAAATCCAGATGGAGTGATTGTGGGGAATTACCGGTGTTCATTGGCTGGAAGGGACTTGAATAGACATTATAAAACCATTCTGAAGGAGTCTTTCCCTTGTATCTGGTACACCAGGAACATGATCAAAAGGTGAGCCCCTTTATCTGTTGATCTTCCTCCGAATGCTGTGAGTACTCTCTGATGGGTGCGAGGGCTCTCTTTGATGTAGCAATCAGATACGGCTTGAGAGAGAGTCTGCCATTCTCTTTGCAGTCACGTGAGTTCGTTCAGTTTCAAACTTTTAAGTCATGTTTTGTCTCTGGGGTTAAACTGAACATGCAACATTTCTGCCAGGGGTTGTTTGACGTATAAGTGAAAACAATGGAATAGAGAGGTCAGAAGTCAGAAGTTCATAGGTCTTTGTCAGGAGGCCTGGCGAATAATAATAATAGTACCTAACTACTAGGCAGTGTTTGTGTATAGGGGACAGGCAGTATTCTCAGTGCTTTACAGATACATGACCCGTGTAATCTTCACATTAACCCCCTGAGGTAGGCACAATCAGTATCCCCATTATATATGATGAGGAAACTAAGGCCCAGAAAAGTCAAGTCACTTGCCCAAGGTCATAGAGCTAATAAGCAACAGAATAGATAATTTGAATACACGCTCTCGGGTTCCAGAATCTGAGTTCCTTATTACCTCTTATATTTCATCGCATAAAGAAAGAATAATAAAAAAGTCAGTTAATATTTTCCAAGCCTGTGTGAAAGCAATTGAAGGCTATGATGTAATAGCACCCACCTTAAAGGAACTACTACTTAAAGGTACTCTGTGTATTCCCCTCTGCCAAACTACAGCAGGTAAGATATGTGAATGCATACACCTTCTAACCTTATCTGTGTGAGAGGGTGGGGGGAGTGTTGGGCTGGCAGGCAAGATGGCTAAGGGCATGTGCTTGGGAGTCAAGACAGGCCTGGCTTTGAGACGTGGTGTTACTACTGGCTGGTTCTGTGACCTTGGATGTGATTGCACCTCTCTGCACTTCAGCTTTCTCATCTGTAGAGGAGGGTAATCTTACCTGCCTTGGGTGGTTACTTAAGAGAATTAGATGAGGACCCTTGTCATCTGTTTAGCACAGTGCTCAGCACATTGTAAGTGTGTGGCATTACTGTCATCCTCTTCATCCTATCATTATGATCATGGAGAAGGTGACCATGATGGAAGACTGAGGAGGTGTCCTGGGTGAAGAGGAGACAAAGAGGAGCTAAGCCTTACAGGAACCGGTACTGGAAAGTCAGGGACCCAGGCTTTCTTCGTTTCTCTTTTTCATCCCTACACTTACAGCCTCTTCCCTTCTCTTTCTCTTTCCCCAGGTCTGCCCCCAGAGGGGGCTTTCTTTCAGTTGATTTCCTCCACTTCCTTGTCAACTTATACAGGGCCTATCCAACACCCCTTTCCACATCAGGGTGTTTTCATTTCAAGTCCCTCTGACTGGCACGGGTGAGGAGTGCTGGTGTCATGTTTACAGCAGTAGCCGAGGGTGGGGACAGGGTCCTTTGAAGGGGTTGGCATTTTCTTTAGTGGGAAGGTAGCAACAGACATACTTAAGGAAGAGACTGTAAAAGATCCTTGATTATTTTCATGCATCTGGATGTCCACTAAATCTTTTGTTTGCCCCTCTCAATAGACTTCTTGAAGAAAGGGAGGTTCTCTTGTATTGTGATTTCCATGGCCACAGCCGTAAGAATAATATCTTCTTGTATGGCTGTAATAACAATGATCGCAAGTACTGGCTTCATGAGCGAGTCTTTCCTTTAATGTTAAGCAAAAATGCGCCAGATAAGGTAAGCACACAAGGTAAGCACATAAGGTAATCTTCCGTCCATTGTCTAAGGAGGAAAGGAGTTCGCTGCTTCCTATATGTAGTGTTTGATCTGCCACTTCACATTTCTTTTCATTATCTTGGGTAAATCCCAGCAGCCTGGACCTCAAGACTTTACTCTGGTTTTCGTTTACAATATAATGATTCAACAGTTCTCTACATTATTCAATGTTCATCGTAAGTGTACCCTTAATCCGCTGTATCTATTTCACCCATCCCCTGCCCTCCTCCCCTCTGCCAACCACCAGTTTGTTCTCTGTACTTAGGACTCTGCTTTTTTGTCTCTTTTTTCTTTGTTTTGTTTTTTAAATTCCACATATGGTTGAAATCATATCGTACTTGTCTTTCTCTATTTCACATAGCATTTTACCCTTTAGGTCCATCCTTGTTGTTGCAAATGGCAAGATCTCATTCTTTTTTATGGCTGAGTAATATTCCATTGTGTATCTATACCACATCTTCTTTATCCATTCATCTATTAACAGACACTTGGGTTGTTTCCATATCTTGGCTATTACATATGGGTGCAATAAACATATGGGTACATGTATACCTTGGTATAAACATATGGGTGCCATAAATATATGGGTACATATATATCTTTTTTGAATTAGTGTTTTTGTTTTCTCTGGGTAAATACCCAGTAGTGGAATTACTGAGTCATATGGTAATTCTATTTTTAACTTTTTGAGGAACCTCCATACTGTTTTCCACTGTGGCTGCACCAATTTACATTCTCACCAACAGTGTATGAAGGTTCCTTTTCCACATCTACACCCACCCTTGTTATTTCTTGTCTTTAATTCTAGCCATTCTGATGGGTGTAGGTGATATCTCATTGTGGTTTTGATTTGCATTTCCCTGATGATGTGTGATGTTGAGGATCTTTTTATGTGTCCATTGGCCATTTGTACATCTTCTTTGGAAAGGTACTTCAAGAATTTAGAAAGGTGTGGCTTTAAGAATTACTCTGTGTACATCCACAAATAAATAAGATAAATAAGATAAAATAAGATAAATAACATATAGTATATCCACACAATGTAATGTTATTCAGCAATAAAAAAATGAGGTGCTGATATGCTAAGACATAGGTGAATCTTGAAACATGCTACGTGAAAGAAGCCAGACCTAAAAGGCCACATTTTTGTGTGATTCCATTCTATGAAATGTTCAGAAGGGGCAGATCTGTAGAAACAGAAAGTAGTGATTAGTCGGTTGGGGGGGGGGGGCCTGACTGCTAATAAGTACTGGGTTTCTTTTTGGAGGTAATGAAAATGTTCTAAACAGAGAGTGGTGATGGCTGCATAACTGTAAATATACTTACATCCTTGAATTGTGTACCTTAAATGTGTGAATTTTACAGCATGTGAGTTATATCTCAATAAAGATGATATTTTTAAAAATTTTTTAATGTTTATTCATTTTTGAGAGACAGACACAGACAAAGTACAAGCAGGGGAGGGCAGAGAGAGAGAGAGAGAGAGAGAGAGAGGCAAAGAATCCCAAGCAGGCTCCAGGCTCTGAGCTGTCAGCACATGGGGCTCAAACCCACAAACTGTGGGATCATGACCTAAGCTGAAGTCGGACGCTCAACTGACTGAGCCACCCAGGCGCCCCTCAGTGAAGATGAGTTTTGAAAATTGCTCTGGCTGCTTTTCCTGGGCACAAGTTCAAACTCTTAGTAGGTAACTTATTCTCTTTAATCCTGTGCTTGGCAGTGATAGAAGGGATTGAATGATACACAAAATACTAATATTATATGAGTCTCCACAGAAAAGTTTACATAAGACAAGATTACAAATAATTGTAAGATAGTAAATGGCTAATAAAAACAACTTAAAAGTCTTTACCAGTTGGCTGAGTAACAGCTCTGACAGTTAGGCATAAACAGAGGATCTGCATTGGTTTAGACATTGGTTTTCAGCATCATAAATAGATCCACAAAATGTAATTTCATTAGAAAGAAGAAATTAGGGGCGTCTGGGTGGCTCAGTCAGTTAAGTACTCAACTCTTGATTTCGGCTTAGGTAGTGATCTCATGAATTGTGAGATTGAGCCCATGTTAGGCTCTGCACTGATTGGGATTCTCTTTCTCTCTTTGCCCCTCCCACACTCACATGTGCGCTTGCTTTAACAAATGTTTATTTATTTTTGAGAGAAAGAGAGGGAGCGGGGAGGGCAAAGTGAGGATCTGAAGCAGGTTCTATGCTGACAGCCAAGAGCCCGATCTGGGCCTTGAACTCACTAACTGTAAGATCATGACCTGAGCTGAAGTCGGTCACTTAACCAACTGAGCCACCCAGGTGCCCCATCAAATAAATAAACATTTACCAAAAAGAAAGAAGAAATTAGGTTGGATTTAGAAAAGTTTTTAAATAATAGTGCACATTTTCTCCTATAAAGATATATGACAAATATTTTATATCTACTATTCTTACATTAAAAAGAAAGAGGAAGCTTTTCTTTCTCCCTCCATTTTTTTCTTCCTTCCTTCCTTTTCTCTTTGTTTTTAAAAAATCTTCCTGTGTTTGCTAGGGATCTCTTTAAATAAAATGGCATCCAAATATGTGTCTTGTTAAAAAAAAATGGTTTTTTTAATTAAAAATAAATGACATCCGGGGCGCCTGGGTGGCGCAGTCGGTTAAGCGTCCGACT